AACTGGCGGTCAGTTTCAGCAGCGGCTGAATCTGGACGCCAGTTCCGACTTACATACAGATTCAACTTAAGAACAAACCTACAGTCCCTATCTTGTACGTAACCCGGGGACTGCCTATATACTCAATCCTTGCATCATGTCTTGGAGAAGATGATTCATAGGATGCTCATTGGGGGCCCAATTCAAATACATTGGAGGTTCCTGTTGTCTTCAATTGGCTTTGGATCAAATCCTGAATTCAGTTCCGACTTACATACAGATTCAACTTAAGAACAAACCTACAGTCCCTATCTTGTACGTAACCCGGGGACTGCCTATATACTCAATCCTTGCATCATGTCTTGGAGAAGATGATTCATAGGATGCTCATTGGGGGCCCAATTCAAATACATTGGAGGTTCCTGTTGTCTTCAATTGGCTTTGGATCAAATCCTGAATTTCCCAACTCTTGCAGAAGCTTGTCCATTTAAGAGTGACTTGGGACCAGAAATACTGGTTTACTATTATTTGTGTGACTCTTGGGACCCCATTGTGAAGCATTATAGACATATAGATATGTATCGAATAGAAAGCTATATAATGTTCCAATCAGCACAGCCTCACAAAAACAATGTAAATTGAATTGTGCCAAATCCCTAAGGAGTCATTATAGTACTTTTCTTTCTTTTTCTTGTGTCACTTCTGCGTGGAGACTTTAGCTGTGGAATATTGAATGGGAATGATAATTTTAGATACTTACAGAGAAACAACATCCTTATTAAGGAAAGTCCTGTGTAAAATGTAACATGAAAATGCCTTAAGTTTGTCAAATGTCCTCAAATTCAATCAATATCCAGTGTGAGGCTTAGGAGTGAAGAAACTGAAGATGTTGCTGTTAGAAAGGGATTGATTATACCCTTTCCATAGTTTGATTAAAAGTAACTGTTTACTCCAGTCACATTAGAAAATTCTAACCACCAGAGCCCAAATTGATGTTAGCTGTTTCATTTTAACTAGTCACCAACATAACTTTTGTTAAAATAAAATCAACAACTTCATTTTCTATATTATAAAAGCTAAAGCACACTTTAAATGTTGTTAATTGGCAAACCAATAATTCTCTAAAATGGATTGTATCTTACTAGAAGTGTACCAGCATTATACATCTCCTGTATCCGTAAATTACAAAGTAAAAGCCAAATATCCATTTTGATACTCCAATATTTTTATTAAGATGCAATTTCTTGATCAAGATATCATGAAATAATAAATAAACAAATAAAAATATTTCTGTTCAAATGCGTCTAATGGTCTAGATTTGGTGCATGGTCTGCCTACACCTTAAACATGTTCCTCAAAGGAGTTCTCTTTCAACAGATTACTATTACTATTTTTTTTAATAGTAATAGAGAGGTATCCGTGTTAGTTTTTCCTTTTGTTTTAGAAAGATCAGACTATGTAGTGCTACATAGTTTTTCCTTTAATTTTTTAAAGTGCATTACATCAGGACATAACCCAGCTCATTTGCTGATAATTTTTCTGAACTATGATAGTGCAATAAAATGGATCAGGTTCACAGCCTCTCTCAATTCATTATGTCAGATGAACCCAGGAAGAGGTAGTTTTTGTCTTTTATCAGGCAGAGCCATCTCTCTTCTATCTGAATGTCAGCCCCTCCCCTCATGCTGGTTTCTCTCTCCTCACAATGCTTTGTGAAAGAAAGTGGAAGTACCTTGTCTCTTGCTGTATCTTTATTCTTTCATTCCGTTTTGCTTTCACTCCCACTCCAAAAAAGGGAAAAAGCAAATGGCTTGGATTCATTCAGAATGTCTAACCTGCCTGTACTCTGAGCAGTGTGAGAGAGAGAGCAAGCTGCTCTTACTGCAGGTTTTTTCATGCAGGCTTTCCCTTTCCTTTAAAACTGTGCAGCCCACCCTTGAGCAGAAAGCTGATTGCTTCCATTCAGCCACATTTGGTATGCATGAGCACTGCTGCTCCAAGACAGGAGGTTGCTTTCTTAAGGAGGATCAGTGGCTAAGGCAAATACACTTTGCCAGCCTTCCATCCAAGTTCCAGGAAGCATCTGTCCTACGGAATTGCAGGTGTGGACATGATGAATGTGGGATGTCAAAACTGTGGAGGACCATTTGTTTTGTAGGCATTATAAGGTTTGCAGTTCATTTTCCAGTGGAATTTTTAGAGGGTCATGAGTCAAACTGATGCTCCCCGACCACTAAACTGGACCATTCGGAAGCTATGCCATGCTGCTTTTCTCCCATCTGTCAGACTTCTTAAGGTATTGTAAAATGGTCATTTTAATATAAAATGTTTATTTTCGTTTTTTATTAAGACTGTTCCAGGTTTTGTTACTGGAGGGTGATCCAGAAACTTTGCTTTGCATTATTTTCCTGTCATATTAGAGTTTTGCTATCTTTATGCATATGGTATGATTAGCAAAAGTAGAGAAATCTGACTGACATTTAACAATGTGAAAATGTTATTGATTCAGTCTTTGCTTCAAAACACAAGTTTGGGGCAGGGAGGAACCTATATGAACTTCTAGGGAAGAAAAAAAATCTATTTAAGGGAGTGTGTGTGTATTGTGAGAAGTCTTCTAAGCAGGTATTAATTATATGATATTGGATAGTCTCTAGAGACATCTATAGGTAGAGTATCAAACAGAATGAACTCCTAAATCAATCCCGTGTGAGTGAACAAAATATTTTGATGGCTTTTTAAAAGCTATACATACTGGTCAGTTGATGGGTAATTGAGAATGCAGATTGCCTGACTGTAATTTTCTGCTAGTCCTTTATTTTTAAACCAAGTCTTATGCTTTGTTTTCATAAGTAGTCTTAAAGATAATTTACATACCTAGATAATAATTATACACTATATAGTAAATGATAGAAGGGCATGAAATTCAGCTATTTGCTTAAGTACCTGGGAGTATCACTAATACAGTACATCCCAATTTAGCCTTCCTTCTAGAGGCATATATCAAAACAAAAATATTGTAAGTCAAAACCCTTCAGAAGAAAATTTTATTGAGCAGGAAAGTATCATTTGTTCTTAGGAAAGCTAGTCACTTAATCTGTCTGTGTGTGCCATACACATTTTAAACCCCATAATAATCACTCAACAGTCTGAAACTATTCTGTTTGGCTTCCATACCTGTAATATCTCTCTTGATCCAGAACCTCTGTAATCTTAATGTTTAATTGGCTAATTCTGAAATGAACATTTAATCAGCTGTAATATGAGTAATCTATTTAATGTCTTTTAATATAAAATTTGATGTACCCATTGATTTCATATAGTTAATTGGCACTGTGAAAATGAAGTCATTTAGAGTATTTATATGTACTTTTGACTATATAATAGCTTACTTTTTATTACTTTTCCAGGGAACTACTGTATGTATAATAATTGGAATATATGTGTTGAACAAACTACTACCCTAGCATCATGGCAGGCATTTGACAGATCTTAATTTGACAGAAAGGGGCTATCCTAGGAACAATTGCTATTCCCAGCCTGGGGTGTGTGTGTGTGTGTGTGTGTGTGTGTGTGTGTGTGTGTGTGTGCTGCAGAAAAAACAGTGAGCACTACAGATAAGTAGATGCACAATATGAATTATACATATGAGTAAATGAAAATGCAACAGAAGTAGATCATAGAACAAATGGGGAATGTGTGTTTATTTTAATGAGAAGCAATTACAGGAAGCGCATAAGCTAGAATGAGCAACACATTAATATCAAAATTCACTTTGGAGACTATAATTTCCTCCGGGGTGGGGGTGGGGTGGGCAAGAAGATCTCAATGTGTTGATTTATCAGCAATCCCATGATCATGAAAATTATTTCGTTATCTTTTTGACAGATAAACATGGCCCCCTCTTGAGCAGTTTTTCATCACTGTGCATACATTAAGAGTATCTGTCTTTGGTTATAGTTAGAGTGTGATGTTTAATAAATATTCCTTTTCTTGCTGCAACAATAATTCAGAGCTGAATGATGACTAGTCCGTACACAAGTGAACAAGCCTTAGAAGAGTTCACATACAAGAATTGGGGACAACAGTCCTTGTGTTCGAGGATATGCAAGGACCGTGGAAGGCTTTCTGCTGATAAGAGTCCTTAACCACACTAGAGAGGATGGGAAAGAGGTAGTGCCTTGGCCCCCTCCCAGTCCTTCAGCAGTGGTGGCTGGCTATGGAAGAAAGTGCACGTAGTACCATCTTAAAGGGACACCAACTCAAAAACTGTGCCTTGTAAAATGTGTGTCTATTTTTATTATTATTATGGAATATGTACAGAGCAGTATCCCTCAAAGGGATCCCGCTTCCAGGTAGAAGCGGGGCCCCAGAATGCTAGCCACTCTGCATGCAAAAATCTCAATCCTTGCTCCTCTAAGTACTCGCTTGTAATAATTAGAGAATATACTTGGTTTGGAACACCTATGTTTACTAGATCTAGCAGAGATAAGATTGAGAGATTTTTCCCTAATTTTTTCCCCAATGTCCTTGACAGAAATTTCTGTATAAACTAATTCACTATTTCCTCTAGTTAGGCAGTTCCCTTCTCTTGTGTCGTTCACATACAATAAAGGAAAGAGAATCTTGTACTTTTCTCCCTGGTAGAGGAGTATCCACAAACTTTGCTAAGGAGATTTAGGAAAAGGTGTATTAGTGTATTACCTGACTCTAATTTGAACTAATTTTTAAAAATTGTCCTTTTAAAAATGATACAGGGGTTGTCTTGATAAATAAATGGAGTAATAGTTTCCTTTATTCGTGTATATCTTTATTTTAGTTATGTTCTACTGATTTTCTCTTTAGCACAGGACTCCATAAATTGAATAGGTAATAAGAATACATATGGTCTCTGTCCAGCATTTTCACAAATGGCATAAACTTTATTTTAAGTCTTTACTTAGTTTTCTTCTGTTGAAGCTAGCAGGAATTTGCCTGTGTAATGACCTCAGTCAGCCCTTTCTATTTAGTTTCTCTTTTGCCTAATGTACTGTATTACTAAATGTGATTAACTTCTTGCACAATGAGTCTGCTCAGTAAGATTATCTTTGCTACAACTGATGTTTGTCCATATAACATCCATTTAATCATCACTCTGTACGTGATCTGATGTTGCCAAACTATTTCAATATATTTTATATGGTGTCCTGAGAGAGGGTAGTTTTGATAACTGCACTTGTGTACCTAGAATTTGTGGGGTGTGCCACATGAACTGTAGTAGCGCTTGGATTAGATGCAGAGGGAGCACATAGCTGTCACAGTGTAATCAACATGTACCGTATTTTCCAGCGTATAAGACGACTGGGCGTATAAGACGACCCCCTAATTTATTAGTTAAAAGATAGGTTTTCGTCTTATACTCACCGTATAAGACTTCCCCCCCTTAAGAGGCCAACCGGCAGCGCCCCAGCGCCCCTCCGCCTCCCCAGCTTTGCTCCCGGTGTCCCTGGTCTGCTGGAGACGGTCCCAAGCAGACCAGGGGCACCGGTACCAAAGCCGCA